TGAAATGTCCACCACAGATAAAGCTATAAATGTAGAATGCAGATTAATGGCTCCCCAGGACCGAGGAGAAGAGAGCTGTAGTGCTGAGGAGTAGTGGCTATGTGATATGGAGTTTCTTTGTGGGTGATGAAGTAGTCTACATTTTATTATGTTGATGAATGCGTAGTTCATGACTATACTAAAAATCATCAAATATTACACTTTGAAAGAATAAATTGTATGGTATATTAATTACATACAAATAAAATTATTTTTAAAAAATAGTTTAGTATGAAAAGCCAGACTACACTTTAAAAAAAATCATTGGAAGTTGTTATGTTCCTACAAAGCTTGTTTTCTATTCAGACAGGTTACACATTCCATTTTCTTTATTCTGTATTTGAGACTCAAGACAGATATAAGATCCAAGGCTCCTTATGTACGAGCAAAATAAAATACTGAAGCATGATGATCAGAGCATTTAAACTAAAGTAAACTTTAGTGCACAGGAACGGATTAAGAAGCTGCCTTCATTCTGTCATTTTGACAATGTAGATTTGGTTCTGCTTATATTTCTGCTAAGCCTGGCAGTTTTATTCCTTTGTAGTTTTATCGTGGTTAAGCATTTTTAAACTGGCATATTGTGTCTGTTTCTCTTAAGCCTGTAAGTCTTGCAGTGTAAATATTTTAAAAATTAGGGCCAAGGATATAGCTCAGCAGCATAAGCGCTTGCTTGGCAAGCCTGAGGTCATGAGTTCGATTCCCAGTAACAAAAAATAAATAAGTAAATAAATTAGCATAGTGATCCTTTTATATCAGTCTATTAAAACTAAAATATTATATATTGAAACAGAAACAATCTGCCATATGATTTTTCTATTCAAATTTCATATTGAGTGTCTTCATAGAGAAAAGGAAAGCTTCTCAGGTAAAAGTACTCATTTTTATGATAAAATATATAGGTATTTTAAATTTGCAATATTATGGACTGAACCCAGGGCTGTCAAACAGGGCTTCAACCCCCGATCCTTTTTACTTTGAGACAGCCTGTCACTAAGTCACTGAATTGCCTCGGCTGGGCTTGAACTTGTGATGCGTAGTCACGCCCCACAGTACCAACTTCCAATATATTCTTATCTTCACTCATTTTTCAATTTATTCCATAAGCACTGGCTAATGATTTCCCATTTGTTCTCTTCGCACACTGATATGTATTAGGAAGGTACTTACATAAGAACCACTCTTTGCTAAACTGAATTATAACCTTGTAAGAGAAAGGCGTCAAGATTTATTGACCAGTTTTTAAGGAAGCCATCGTGCTTTACAAATGGCATTCACATGGGCTTTACATATGGGTATTAAGTTCTCACAACCCTTTACTGTAGATTTTTGTTGTCAGCTAATAGAAGAAAATATAAGCTTGGGAAAGGCAAATACCTTGCTGAAGTCACAAAATAAAGATCTGAGTCTTTGTCTCCTTCCACAGCTACTTCCCTTTTTCCGTCGTGTGTTTATGTCTTGTTTCTCCTGCGGCCTCCTCACAGCGTTTTTCTGGGTCAAGCCAATTTCAGAAATGAGGGCACAGTCTAACCCTCACCGGCAAACCTTTTCAGAAATGGCGCATTTGACTTACACAGCCCACCACCCCAGGGTGACTTTTTGTTATTGTCAAAGAATTTCCTTACTGTCGCCCTCTTATTCCATTACAAAGCAATGGCAATGTTCTTCAAAGAGCGCTAATATTAGCGGCTGCCCTACATCTTTTAAACTCTCTTACCTGTTTTGTGAATGCAGGTCACTGCCCACATTAATCCTGATATGATTGTTCATATACAGCCAACCAATTATGACTATGAAATCTACACATGGATGAAAAATTTGTTTCTAGCTTAAATCTTTAAGCAAACACCAGAACAGGGCTTCTTCAACGGTCTCACTTCACACAACACCTCACATAGATTTGGGTGTGCCTTTTTTTGGTGACACACTGTATATCCCACATTTATTCTTTTCTTGCTGGCTACTAACCAAAGAATTGAATAAACACTTGCTACAGCAATCACCTAATTATATGTATGAGAACTAGGAAACAGGCAAAACAGAAAATTAAGTTTGAGCTTAAAGTATTTTTTCTATATAAGCAACATTACAGGAAATGTGAAAAACAAAGGTAAGAAATTCTGAGTGGCAGTTTTACAGTTTGAAGCCAATCTGGATTTGTATTCTGGTTTAGTGGACTCTAATGCCCTACTCAAACCATCCAGACTGTATAAATTATATGTAAATAAGAATTTTCTGTTTAAGCTTCAACAGTGAAGAAATCAGATATTTATAGTAACGGAAATCTAATTTTTTGAGAAAGATACTTGGACCATTGACATTATATCTTGGTCTTTTAATTTCAGTATATGACAAGAGAAAAATATGTCTGTCCCCTTTCTAGAAAAGCAATCACAAATACAAAATAATACTGGAGAAATATTTTGTTTTTCAAGTAATTATTTGTTTTAACATCTCTACCACTTTCCCACTTTGTCAGAAGAAAATAATGTAGTGTGCAGATATGCAGCCCTAACTTGGAAAAATTACCCACTCTAGAAGGTATAAACACTTTTTTTCCCCAGAAGAATCACTATCTCTAATATTTGAGCTAAGAGATAGGTTAATCAGCTCTTTTTAAATTTTAAATAGAATAATAAAAAAAGAACAATAGCAAAATACCAACAACATAGACAAAAACAAAAAAAGCAAAAGCAATAAAAATGATACAAGGTTTCAGAACAAAATGATAGGAATTAACAGTGGTTGTTATATTACATATTGTTATCGTCAACGCAGTTGCTCAAATTACCAGATGTAAGCATGCAAGATTGATCAAACCATTAAAGAGAATAAAAAATAAAAACCAAAAAAAAAAAAAAAGCCATTAAATGATTTTAAATGTGAGGGGAAGAAGTCAACTGGTATTAATGGCTTACCTGAGAGCAATATCTGAAAAGAAATTACTAATGAACACCAACAAGACATTTAGTTTGCTTTATGATTTTTGGGGGAGGTTATTTTTGAGACAGCGTCCTTTTATGCAGTTCAGGCTGGCCTTGAACTCTCTCTGTAGCCCAGGCTGGTCTCAAATTCCCAGAAATCCTCCTGCCTCAACCTTCCAAGTGCTGGGAAGATAGGCGTGCAACACCATGCCCAGCTTTATGATGTATTTTTAACAAGAGGTAATTTGGGTAATCTAGTCCTTGAGTAAGGACTAGATTTGTGATTTAAGGACCTTCAGTGCATTAGCGGACTACCTAATTTTTCCTTTTCTGTCTTGCTATTATGTTTATGTGCTAGCAACAGTTTCACTGCCAGAGAATGTAGATACAGAAGGAGAGATGGCAGGCATATGTATATCCTCAGAAGCTGAAAGAAATACAAGTTTAAGAGAAAACTGTGGATTTTATGACAAGCTGTGAAATCTTTCATTATTTTAAATAATTAGAAATTAAATGATGTGTATATTTCCTTTGTAAAATTTGCATCAATACCAACAATTGTCTAAATGTAACTGTGGTTGCATTTTCCCCTAATGGTCATCATAGAATGTAAAATTTCAGTCCTAGAAATGGATTCTATCACTCTGTAGCAGCTCATGGGCCCTTGCCAAGGTCTACCTTGAAGTTGACCAAAAATAACCCCAGGTCTTCCTGCATCTTTCTCCTAAGGAATCTTCCCATCACAAACAGCCTCAACTACTTTTCCCTTGCTTTTTGGTAGAATGATTTTGAGGTGTCCCCCATAGTCTCGCAGAGGAGCCCACCAGCTGAAGCTTATTGTCCATAGGCTTAACTACCTCATTAACATACCCGTATTTATTGCCGTCAACCTTTACAGTGCTCTACTCTTCCCCCAAGCTTCCTAGGTCAGATCAGATAAACTGCATCTAAATTGTCTCAGAAACTGTTTTTATTTATTGTTTTTAGGAGGAAGAAACCCAAATTAAGGCAGTAATCAAGAAATTCCTCTATTTCTTCATATTGAGTGCGTAGAAGAGGTAAATTTTATTGAAATAGCAGAAAAATGCTTGCCTAGGGCTGGAGGTAGGAATAGGGATTAAGTGTAATTCGTATGAGTGATATCACTGGGAGCATAAAACAAAATTTAAAAATGTTTCCTGGTGATGGTTTACTCACGCCATAAAATTGCTCAAACTCATTAAATTATGCTTAAAATGGGTAATTAGCAAAGTTGTTTGTGACTAATTCACTTATTTGTTATTAGTGAATGTTTGTAATGCAGAATAGCGACGTTCAGGGGCACTGGTACTTGTGTGTAATAGCATATCTTGATGACATTCAATGCCTTTAACACCCCCTCTTCCTTTCGCGTCCTCTTCCTCCTCAGCCTTTTATCAATCTCCTTTGGTCCACCTGCTAGTTTCCTATAATCTCTCCTTTATTTTATTCATTTACTTATTTACATTTTAGATTTTTTCATATAAGACAAAAAAGTGATAAAAATGTATTTTATATGGCTAGACAGCAAGATCCATAGAATTAAAGTGCTCAAATGTATACAGCAAGTATGTGTCAGAGAAAGAATAGAATTTAGGCCATTTGATTACTCTGAAAAATAGCATTTTTCTTTGAACTAGTGGTCTTGCCTTAAATCAGTTAAAATCAAGGGACAAAAAATTGGAAAAGTGGCAATTAAAATGTCACTATAGTTATGATGTTATCATAGTTTATCATTTAGTGCTTTTTATGTTAAGTGATCTACCTAAATGACAACATTTACTTTCACAGTGGACCCAAAGTTAAGCATTATTATTATCTCTTTCTTATACATAGGGACGTTGAGCTGGAGGGCAAGTGACTTGGCAAAGGTCATGGGGCTCCCTGAAGGGCTGAGTAGGAGTTCACCTTTGGTGGGAAGCACATGCTTATAACCTCTATCTCCTACTACTTCTGCTGGTAACTGGGCTTTATATCTCCTCTTACCATGCCAGCATGACCAAAGACAGACTTCCATACCTCACTGTTGAGTTTGTTTATCTGCTGCTTAGTCTCCTCTGCTTTGATGAAGAGAACAGCAGTGCCGATCTCTGGGTCTGGAAAGTGACACACAGAATGAGTTGTTTAGGAATCAATTTCATATTTGGGAATCAGGGCAACTGAAATATGAAAGGGAGCTTGAGCTATCATCTTTCACCTTCCATATGTTTGTGCATTGTAGTTTTGCCATCTAGGATCACACAAGATTCATGTATTTCTCTGGATGGTGCCTGATATACTCTGCAACCAGGCACACACCTTGGTGGTGACGCTGGGAGGATTTATCCATGGCAAGTCTCCTGCTCGCCTGAACACAATCCCCACCATGTACCAAAATGGCATAGCTTCTCTTTTCTGACCATTTCTCTAAAATGGTTAATACAGTTGATACCCATGCCACAGAAAAAGGATGTTCTCTTCCTTCTCTCTTTCCTTTCTAGCCATTAATTCCTGTGCCAATGAGAACATTTTCTCCAAATCTATTTCATCTACTGCACGTTTCCAATCTCCTCCTGCGTCACTTGAAAAGATAATCTCTCTCATTTCCTAGTTTTCTCTTTACTTTTTTTTCTCTACCTCACTCTTCCAAGTACATTTATTTCTGCTCAGGACTAAAAGTACAGATGAATCAGTGCTTGCTGGAGTGGAAAAGATTTGACAGAATCAACTTCTCTTTCTCTCTCTCATCATACTAATTCTCATCAATTATGAGTAGAAATCTTGCTAGTGGTGGGAATGTCCAAAAGCAGAGGATTAAAAGCTTGTTTTGCAGAGATATTTTGCAGAGGTTGCAGATATTTTACAGAGATAACCCAATCATTCAGCAAATGGTTGTAGGTTAGATACAGTAGGCCAACACTCCTTTATAGGAGACATCAATAAATACAGAAAATACAATTGACCCTTATAGAGCTCAGACTCTGGCAGGGAACAGAGATGCTTAAAAATACCTATGCAACAGGTTTGCGTTTCATACTGAGGGCACTAGGAAACCACTTCAGAGTTTCAAGCATGGCAGGAGTTTCCACCATGCCTGGAATCAAGTGTGAGACCAGAAAAGAGACTTTGGTAGCAACACAGCAAAGAGACAGAATAGATATGGCTGAGAAAAGAGCGGTGGCAGTAAGGACAAAAACATGGCAATTTGCAGAACGGAGGTATTTAGGGGATGGAATAAAGAACCTTTGTTGCTTGAATGGATGAGTATAAGGATAGGGCCTGGGGTGAAGGAAGTTGTGGAACCAGAAATCCATGTACAGACATTGTGAATTTCTGTGCATTTCCTCCAGGTGAGCCGGAAAAAAAAAATCTTACCATTTGGATCCACCACTGGCTTTCCATGGCAAATACACAAGGTTGACCATGAGAAGATTTCTTTGACTTTTGCCCCAGGCACAGTAATATCAATATGTGTAATTCAGGTGAATTAATGAGCCAGGATTACGTCCCTTCTCCTCTTGTACCCTTCTCCCCCTTTCAACCCCAAAGTCTCTCAAGGACCCTTCAGTTCCCTCAGAAGGTAACAGGTAATAGAAAGATTGCGACTGATATGTTACCAAACAGACCCCCCACCCCAAGCCCAGATTATAAATTCAAAAGTCTTTCTTCAACTTGCTTTTTTCCATATTTGCTAATTAGCGGAAAATTCTTACACAAGGATCCCCAAATTTGGTAGTTGGGGAGAAGAAAGTGGGCAGTGAATTGCCCATTTTGTACTGAGTAGCTTGCTGGTATTTGTTTTGTGTTAGCTATGCCTATTTAATACTTGCCCATAGTCTCTTTTTATCAAATACAAATGTAGCTTTGAAGTTCTTCAATTCTGCCCTTAAGCATGTTGACAGATTTTTTTTTTTTTAATAGGTCATAAACTCATGATTGACTGACAGAAAGAGAGAGAGAGAGGCCTGGCTTGGATTCAGGGTACCTACATTAGTTCGCTATCATTAAGGACAATGTTTCATATAGTTTTCTCTCACTTTCAACATGCTAATATCATTCTGAAGTTGTTTATCCTTGGGCAAACTGCAAGTTCATAAGCTCTCACCAAATAAATTGGTTAAATATAGCTACGGTTCCTGCAATGCATTTCCTTTAGATAATATTTGTGTGAATTACTCTCAATTTAAAATAGGAAATCATAGGCACTATCTGATGAATAGAAGTAATCTGACTCTGCTGGCAAACTATTTACCTTGTTTGCTAAATGGGAAGGCACGTAGCCTGGACAGAGGCACAATTGTAAATAATTTCTTAATAATTTAGAAACAGCATAGACTCACATCAAATTATTCAACGGTGTTGGTAGAGTTCTATTACTGGGAGAAAATTCCATGAACAATGAAGTAAAAAAGAACCTGCCAAAATTAGCATTACAAGTTCAAAAGAAATATTGCCCCAAGAGAGAAGAAGGAGAACTTACCTCCAAGGGGAGGGGAAATTCTGGGTTCTGGCCTCATTCGTTCAGAGCCAAAATCAAATGTCTGACTCTCTTCACTGCTGTTCTCATCTTCAATTCCATCAACAATTCTACTTAAAAGAAAAGAGATCAGTTGGTTGAACGCTTATATTCATGAGTTCTAGTTATGTCTAGAAGACTTTCAAAAAGGTTTCTACTTAGTTTCTAATGTTTATATTAAATCTTATTAGTAATAAACTAATTCTTCAAAATCTGAAGTGCATTTTATAATTATGGAACATCTTAATTTACACCAACAGCATTTCAGGCACTCAATAGTCATGTAAGCCAAATGGTTACCATATTGAATAGCGTGGTTCTGTTACAAAAAACAGAAAGAAAAAGTTACCTGTAAGTTACTACTATTGTCAACATTTTAGCATATGTCCTCAAAATCTTTCTGTATATAAAGAAAAATATACTTTTTAAATAAATAAATACAGGCTCATCTTACATACAGGTCTTTCTTTGCCTCTCTGAAATATACTCCTTGTATTTGAAATGTATTACTTTTATTTTAGTAAAAATTTAAGAACCAGAAGAGTTAAGCACTGTTTTCAAGTTAACCACACTCAACTGAATCTCTGAATATTTAATATTCACTCACTTTTCACTAAACTGTTTTGCTGACTTTTTCCCTTAATATTCTCTCTTAGTGGATAATTTGTGTTCTTCAAATGAACCATGACATCACAAACATCACTCAGTTTATGAGTAGAGAAATAACTTTGAGTTCAGCTTTCAGTATTTAATATCTCTGAAATACTAGTCTATAACGTAGAGATAATTCTAAATTTCTAAAGGCTTGGACTGAAGTCTAGGGGTCCAGCAGTATTCAAAATGTAAATTTCTAAAGTAAGTTTTCTTTTAATTAAAAATAAGACTGCAGGGCTGGGGATGTGGCTCAGTGGTAGAGTTCTTGCCTTGTGTGCACAGGGCCCTGGGTTCGATCCCCAGCAGCACAAAAGCAAACAAACAAACAAACAACCCTGATACTCATTGAAGAGACAAAGAATAAAACTAAGCTTCAACTACCTAAAATAATGGGGCAAATAGAAAGTGAAACTCAGCTTCTTATTTACTTCATAATTTCAGCTTGTAGCTCTCTACAACTTTTGGTAAGATGAGGCATTAATGGAATAACATTGATGGACTTTACTCCATCTCTTCCGCTTTCATTGTAAGTTTATACATTTGAAATCACAATGTAGAGAAGTACAGTTAATAAGTAGAGCTAAAGGAATCTAAAGAGAAGAGGAAAGGAATGAATCCTTTTGAAAATATTTTTCAAAACTCTTTGTTCTTGTGTCATTCACGCACCTGCCCAAATACTCAAAATATTGCACACAAAATTCAGGGAAGCCAAAACATCCAGGCTGTGAATGAGTGTGACACAAAGGGCCCCAAAGGCTGAGTAATTTACTAGACCTGTACCAGTCAGTATTAAAGCTACTTTCACCTGGAAGACTTAGATGATGGAAACTCTTACCTCGGACTGAGGTCTGGGGGTCCAGCAGTATTCAAAATGGAAAGTTGCAGTTTCAAGTTCTTCTCCCTTTTTTTATTGTGGTGAGGAGGGTCAGCCTCCTGCTTGGTTTTAGGGGAGTTTGAACTGGAAACTCTCATAGGTGAGTGAAACGGCATCGTTCCTGAGGCCAGCTGCTTTAAGCTTAGTCCTAGGTAGCTTTTATTGTTTCCAACCTTCTTGCTGCGTGAGGAGGAGGATCGTCTTGTGTAGATGGGAGACAGTGATACTGTTTCCTCTTCTTCCCCCTCCTCCTCCTCTTCCTCATCTTCTACAATGGATGGGAGTCTCTTGTTGATGTTGCCATTTCCCTTTGGCTCTGACTAAATCAGAAGACAATGAAGATTAGTACAGATTGTAAAGACTTTGGAAGATATCTATCATTTATGCTGGAGGTCCCACTGAAAAAAAGTCACATCCCTTAGAGGATTTCATTGAAACTGAAGTCTTTGCAGATTTTGCTATTAGTTTTTCAGATAAGAAAAAGTCTCCTACTTCTGACTTTAAGGTTCACCCTCTCTGTCATCCTTGCTCTATCTTTTAAACTGTGCCGGGGGGAGCCTGTGTGAAAGGCACATTTTAGAAGGTTTGCTTATAGATTTTAGTCAGCTAGTCATACAAAATATATGATGGCATGTTCTTAAGCATAAAGACACTTTCAATTCCAATGAAGAGTTTTGGGCTTTGCTCTCTAAAATTCAAGATCTTTAGTAGAATTTTACAAAATAGAGGTCATCCTGCAAAATCCTATCACCCTTTAAGAATAAAAGTCTTTTGTATTTTGGATCGCATAGGTGGAGAAAGATATGAAGCATTCTCAGCTCTCTGCTTCTTGCTCGTCTTGTGCTCATTAGTGACTAACAAGAAATAGAGCAAAGCATCTGGTCTGCTCCCTTTGAAATGCCCTGGGATAGGAAGGAGAAACAGGCTTTGCCAAAACCCATTCTAAGACCACTGGAACTCTAGGCTGGGTCATTCAATGTTGTTAGAGAAGAAGAAAGAAGGAAGACGGGAAAAGACAATTGAAGCGCTGAGGGAGAAGCAGGAAAGAGAAGGCAGCAAAAACTAACCTAGTGGCTCTGAAGGAAGTCACTGTAACAATGTTTCTTGCTTTGCTTCAGACATGGCTTCTTTGGGGATGTCCAGAGGTCAATTCATTCCAAAAGGCTGATTTGTGTTTCTGTGTCTCAGTTTTTAAAAGATACAATCACTTGTACCTGATTGATAATAATTTCTTACAAACATGAGATTAAATCTAAAAATCCCTAAGATTATTATTTAAATCTCTTGCATTGTCATGGTTATAGCTTCAGTGAGCAGCTGGTTTCTTGGTGTATCTGGATTTTGCTATAATACAGTTGTAATGATGCAGACAACAAAAAATTATGTTTACTCACAGGCAATAGTCCAATTTGTGTTGTAGCTGATAAGTGAGCTGGATGGTTTACTCATACATTTTTTTTTTTTTTTTTTTTTTTTTTTTTTGCCTATACCTTAAGGGTTC